GCAAGACACCGAAGCCCCAACTGCTCCCCGGGTGCCACAGCAATATGGCTGCCCACTGCTCCGAGTGTGTGTGTGTGTGTGTGTGTGTGTGTGTGTGTTCACTACTCACTGCTGTGTGTGTGTGTGCACTTGGATGGGTGAAATGCAGAGCACAAATTCCAAGTATGGGACACCAGACATGGCCACACGCCACTTTCACTTTTTGATCAGTTATGTCCCACGCTCTGAGCTGATTGATGTGGTTGAAAGGTTTGGTCTGGTTTGGTCTGACTGTAGGGTTCGAGTGAAGTGGGAAACACGCCCCGCTCCCAGCAGCATGTGACTCAAAATAGACCCTCATGTTGATGTTGTGACCCCGGCGGCACCCATCAGGGGGAACTGCCCGACTTCAGCCGACTCGTGCCTCGGGCGTCAGCGAGCGGAAGGATTGAATGTGGCTTTGTATGTGTGAAAGAGTGCCAGATGCTACACTCAGATTCCAGTCTGGGGTCAAACGGACAGATGTAAACGACACCCATCTGATGCTTGCGAATACTTTGTGTGATTGGTGAAGAGCTGATGTGGGTTTCTGTGCTGAAGTGAGCTCATTTCACTGCCCATTCTGCCACCTAGTGGTCACAACTCATAGCATTTCCACTGCAAACAAACATGCACACTCCTCCTTATAACAGCAGACTTGTTGGATCTACTTACTTTTTCCTCACTTTGACTTAAGTGTCTTTGAATCCGCTTGATTTGGATGAAACAGCCGGTGGTTATTAGTGGCGTGTTAAATTTGTGCGTAATTCGTCGTTTTTGCTGCAGACATTAATTATTCCTCAAATAATTATGTCTTGTTGAAGAGAGATGTACTGTTAATTTACTAATTTTACTAAGAGCCTAGCAACTGCATAGCAACACACTAAAAACTAACCAGAGCCATTTTTCAGCAGAACCAGAACACAAAAATCTGTAGCCTTTCTTCAGAAGACTACTGTAGATATTACATTTTCTTCAAAGTAGAAATGTATTTTTAATGTTGTCTTTTCTTTAATTTTTTTACATCTAAAAAATAGTAAACTTTAAAATGAAAACATGGGATGAAAATTCAAATCAGTGGCCTAGAAAAAAAGCAGTTATATTATGGGCTGTGTCTCCCCCTCATGGTGGCTGCAATGTTGAGCGCAATACACTTTTTATAACACTTCAAACTGCTGAATTGTTCATTTATGGGCAACTAATATGTCTGCAAGTTGAATATTTCTATATATTAAAATGATATTATTGTTCAAATGTCTGGGGTCTGTAAGATATTTTTTAACTGTTTAAGTCTTTTATGCTCACCAAGCCTGCATTTATTTGATGAAAAATACAGTAAAAACAGTAATATTGTGAAATATTATTATAATTTAATATAACTATGTTCTATGTGAATATAGTGTAAAATGTAATTTATTCCTGTGATGCAAAGCTGAATTTTCAGCATCATTACTCCAGTCTTCAGTGTCACATGATCCTTCAGAAATCATTCTAATATGCTGATTTGCTGCTCAACAAACATTTCTGATTATTATCAATGTTGAAAAACAGTTGTGCCGCTTCATGTGTTTGAGGAAACCATGATTTCCACTGTTCATCTTTAATGAATAGAAAGTTGAAAAGAACTGGAAATCTTTTGTAACATTAATGTCCTTACTGTCTTTGAGTCCTTGCTGAATAAAAGTATGAATTTCTTGAAAAAACTAAATGGTAGTGGTAGCATCAGTAATCAGTATCTGTGTCTGATTTGATCCGCAGGACTCTGATGCCTCTGTTTGATCCAGATTCTGGATTACTAATTGTGTCTGGAAATGTATGTAACTATTTATAAACACACTTTGATATGTTTAATGACTGAAATCATTTATCATCAATGTTAATATCATTATTAATGGTGTTTTCTCAGGGCGAGAGTGTGATCGACTGTTTTGAGGTGAACAGCAGTGAGCCCTTCCTGTCTCAAGGTAACACAGACGCTTTTTCTTGAGGCTCTTGCTCTTTCTTCATATTCATGAAGCTGATCTCTCTGTGTCGTGATCAGTGAGTCACTGTCTGACGGACCTGTCGACCCGTGGCGTGGCTCTGGTGCCGAAGCTCGCTCTGGATGTCAGCTGCTGTGAGGTTTTGCGCCTGCTGCAGCTCACTGATAACTTCATAGTGCCCATCAGCTACCAGGTGCCTCGCAAGGTGAGAATGATCCATCCTGGTCTGCTAAACTGACTGGATAAAAGCTCCTAATGCACTTGGTATATCCTAAACCAATTATGATTGATAAGCTGACAACATATGTAACAGGCATGTGATTTCCTTACTTTCTGACCTGAAGTATGATGCACATGAACTGCATAAATCCACATTTGTAATGAGAACCATTTATACAAATATCAGCAAAATGGAATCTTTAAAGTCTCCTAGTGGTTTTCTGCTGAAATGAAATTTGTATGGTTTAATGTTTGAAAGCAAAGACATTGAGTCAACTACAAAAAGTCACATTTTAGTTTTACTATTGTTCTGTCAAATAAAAAAAAATATTATTATAATTATAATTCAATACTTGTTTTTTTTTTTAGTACACTAGTGTTAATGCAATAGAAATATATTTCTTTAATTTGCTTAATTTTGATCATTTAAATAGCAGTCCAATAAAACAAAAAAACGTGTAAAATAAAACAAATTAAACAGAACAATTATTATCATTAATAAATGTATTATAAAAATGTATTAGTAGTAGTAGTAGTAGTAAATACAAGAAATTGATGCAACTATAAAATGCAATATTTTAATTTTCCTATTGTTTTGTAAAATAAAAAATGTATTATTATAATTATTATTCAATACTTGTTTTTTATTTTTAGTACACTAGTATTAATGCAATATAAATATATTTCTTTAATTTGCTTAATTTTTATCATTTAAATAGTAATCCAATAAAACTAAAAAAGCAGAACAATTATTATAATTTATATTATTAAATGCAATAAACTATAAAAAGCAATATTTTAATTTTCCTAATAAATGTTTTGTTTTTTTTACAGTACAGTACTATTTTGCAACAGTAATATATTTCTTCATTAATATGTTTATTTTTTAGAATTTAAATAGCAATAAAATTAAGTCATTATAATAGTGACTATTATACATTTTTATTTTTATTACAATAGTATCATTGCAGTAGTAATGTATTTGTTTATTAATTTGTTTAATTTAATTATTTAAATAGTAATAACACACAAAACTAATGATAATAATAATAATTATTATTATTATTAAATGTTTTTATTTTACAGTACAATTATTTACAAAATTATTTATAATTATTTACAATAACAAATATTATTAGTATTATTGTATAGTCATATTGAATGAGTGGAAAAAAAAATCCTCCTTTTTTTTCCCCAAAACCAACCAATCTGAAGATGTTTGATGTTTTAGCTCTTGAGTGTTTTGTGTGTATCAGGCAGGACAGGACTTCCATGCGGACTTGTATCCGGACACCGTGGGTCACACCCCGGCCATGACGGCAGAGGACTGGTGGAAAGGAGAGAACAAACAGGTACTGACCAGTCAAAGGTCTGTTTAAAGCAACTCATTTCACTTCTGTGTTATTCATGGGGAAATCACTGGATTGCTTACAAAAAAATTGGTCGGTATGACAGATGATTGGAGGGGAGAGGATGAGAAATAAGAGGGAAAAAGGGAAAGTCATTTCAGATTTATTTAACTCTCTAACACTTGCACTGCTACAGGTGGAGCGAGTCAGTCTTCACCCGAGCAAGAGGCCAAAACCGGCCACTCCGTCAGCTCAGGAGACAAAACCAAAGGATCTTCCCCGTGGCAAGAGCAAAGAGGTTTGTGGGAGGAACACGAGGAGAAAAGTTTTCTTTACAGAAATGATCTTCTTATGATGGCCTTGTCTGGTTTTGTCAGGAGGCCTCGAGCTCCAGCAGTCCCCTCAGCACCCCCAGCAGCAGTGCCGCCCCGTCCCGCTCCCCGTCCTCCACCAGCGTCCTGTCGTCTGGCTTCCTGCCGAGCCCCAGCCAGAGCTCCCGCGCCATCCACAGCATGCTCGGTCAGTCACCCTGACTTTGTACGCATTTACATTTACTTAAATTAAACTAAATAATAGCGTTTTTTATTCAAATAAAATATTTTATAATACAATATTATTATTGCAATAGTACTATATTTATTAATTTTCTTAATTTGTTTCCATCATCACTCCATATCTTATATATATATATATCTACAGTGGTGTGAAAAAGTGTTGGCCCCCTTCCTGATTTCTTATTTTTTTGCATGTTTGTCACACTTTAATGTTTCAGATCATCAAACAAATTTAAATATTAGTCAAAGATAGCACAAGTAAACACAACATGCAGTTTTTAAATGAAGGTTTTTATTATTAAGGAAAAAACAAAATCCAAAACTACATGGCCCTGTGTGAAGAAGTGTTTGCCCCCCTGTTAAAACTGTGGTTTATCACACCTGAGTTCAATTTCTCTAGCCACACCCAGGCCTGATTACTGCCACACCTGTTCGCAATCAAGAAATCTCTTAAATAGGACCTGCCTGACAAAGTGAAGTAGACCAAAAGATCCTCAAAACATGGAACAGTGGAGAACCTTCCCAGAAATTCAGAAACAAACGAGAAAGAAAGTAATTGAGATCTATCAGTCTGGAAAAGGTTATAAAGCCATT